CTCTTCAGCTCAAGGCGAGCGCTCTACCACTTGAGCTACAGCGCCACTTCCGGTTTTCTGGTGGTTTATTGGAGATAGGAGTCTCACGGTCTCTCCTGCCTGGGCTGTCTTTGAACTGTGATCCTCAGATCTCAGCCTCCTGAGTAGCTAGGATTACAGGCGTGAGCCACTAGCGCCCAGCTCATAGGGAGTTTCTTGATGGAATGAAGGTTTCACTGTCTTTGAGAGTGCCATGGACAAAGAGGGCCAGCGTTGTCTGGAAGCACCTCTTCATCATTAGCAGTGAGGACCAGAACTTTGATTTGTGATGGGGTCCAAGAGTATAAGGAGAGGAAATATGCCTTAGAGTATCCATTATATCAGGTTTTAGTGTGTGATATTTGTAGCATTGAGGAAGTATCAGGGCAGAGTGGGGTAATCAGAGCCTCGGTTAAGTGGAAGTAAGTGGTAGTTAGGATCCATCATCTATGGATAGCCTGTTCTCAGCAAGAAACTTCTGCCAGGAAAGCAGTGCATGGCCTGGTAGAGTTGAAGCTGCTCTTTTAAAGTCTTGAACTTGAGTTCCTAAAGATCAGAAAATTCAGCCAGGCACTGGTGGCTCATGCCTGTAATCCTGGCTACTCAGGAGGCTGAGATCTGAGGATCACAGTTCAAAGACAGCCAGGGCAAGGAAAGTCCGTGAGACTCTTATCTCCAGTAAATCACTAGAAAACCAGATGTGGTGCTGTGGCTCAAAGCGGTAGAGCACTCGCCTTGAGCTGAAGAGCTGAGGGATAATGCCCAAGCCCAGAGTTCAAGCCCTAGGACTGAGGGAAAAAAAAAAATCAGAAAGAAGGCCAAAGACGAAATTAGTAAAGACAAGCCTAGTCTTTGTCAGTAACCCTGTCCTGACTAATCATATCCATAGACCAGCCTGAAATCATGTGACAGGTAGATTCACTTCCTATATTTGAAGGTCATGACAGGAGGCCATGACTTGAGGTCCTGAAAGCTTCTGATTTGGGGAGAAAGGTGAAAAAAAATGAAAGTCATATCTCATTCTGATGGCCTGAGTCAATATTTGGGGGCCGAATTTGCTTTGGGCTGGCAGAGCCTTTGCTAACATTGCCCTGGGTTTCTAACCACTGGGCAACATAGCAGGAAAGCCCTGGCTATGTGATGTGGGAGTGTCCACAGTGGTTCCTGGCTCAGGCTGGTCCACCTTATACTATGGGTGGGGCAGAGATTCATGGCACCATTCCCCTATGGCACCTGCCCTGACAGCCTTGGGAACAGGACCAGCAGCTGTACTGCTCACTTCCTGTTTCATGTCAGTATTTCTGGCCCACCTATAACATCTTTCTGGGCTCCCACCCCTGTATGCCAAAGTTGTGCAACCTCTTTTTCTTACCTGAGTATCTTAGTCTATAGGACAAAGAAAAAAACTCAAGGGCAGAGCACATTTTCTCAGGTTTGAGGAGGCTGGAATCCTTATCTGATTTAATGGTCTGGTCCTCACCCCTACTGCTATCCACTCCAAGTCTGGCAGCTTTCCTAGGTGCAGAATAGCAATGCCAGAGGAAATGCTCTGATATGAACTTGTGCAGGGCAATCCTACTCCTTTGGATTAACTAAACTGCCTTACTTGTCTCATTGGAATTAAAGGATCAGAATATCAAGAGAGATTAAAGGGGGAAGATGTCAGCCCAGTCTGATCCTCTTAGAACCTACTCCATGATTTCTATAGTGGAAGTGGAAGGGAAACCTAGTGAAGACAATCTCTGCCTGCCTTGAGGATCCCCCTCCCCTAGGAGCATCACTAGCCAGCTGCCCAGTCCCCTCTACCAGGCACTTGTCCTAGCCTGCCCTTTCAGATTGCTGAGTTAGGGATTCGATATTCTTGTGACTCTTCTCTGAGTCTGAGTTCCTGCTCCGTCTTAGGAAGCCCTGGCTCAGCCAAACCCTGACCCACTTGTTAGCAGTTTCAAATGTGCCTTAGCTAGGTGGCACAACTAGAAAGGCACAGACACTGCGGTTCTGTGGAAGCATTGGGGCAGCACTGATTTGCTTCGGATTAGCAAGGTCAAGGTGACTGGCTCTCACCCAGATGTTCCTCTTTATGGGATTAACTGAGCCTTGATCACTTGCCTAGACCTTTTTTTGGCATTTTGTACTAGGTTTTGCTTTAGAAATTAGGGCTCTTTCAGCTTTGTGGTATGCAGTGAGTGTCGTGGTCCATTGCTTTGCCTTCCAGACCTTCCACAGAAATTTCCCTGCAGTGCTATGGAACAGGCTTCCAAGTTTTGTGAAGCAGCCCTGGAAGCTGCTGCGCATCTTGCTGTTACAGGGCATGGTGTCAGTGGCAGGCGCCAGGAGGACAGTCTCGGCTTTACTCCACAAACAGGAAAATCCCTAGTCTTTCACCCCTGGGAGACCAAGGAAGGGTAGGGGAAAGCTTAATCTTTATCCTCCTAACAAGCTGGTTGATCAGGCATTTGCCTTCCTTTATGTTACTTAAACCTTGTGCCTATACTTGATACTGGCAATGATGGAGAAGATGTGTCCTTTGGTGTAGATAAAACTTCTGCTCTGTCACTGTTCATGCCACTTCACCATAGTTTTTCTTCTAGTCAGCCTCCCTGAGAAAGAAGAGGTAGAAGGGCCGGGCCTGGACACTGCCCAGGACATTGGCCCAAGCACAAGGGGGTCAGAGGAGGCCAGTGATCTTGTTGGTGATTTGATAGGGTGACATGTGACACAAATAAAGGAAGAGCAGGCTTTTGCCATCTAGTAACTGCCAATACAGGGAGGGTACCCAACCAGCAGAGCAGGGACAGAATCTTTTATGTCTAATATAGGAAACAGGAGCACTTGCTTCAGCCCCACCAGGAAATTGGAAAGCTTTTGGAAGTCTGGTTGCCACAAAGACTCTTCTATAAGTTCTTTGTGAGGGTGAGGAGGACACAACACTGGAGGAAAAGCAAGTGGGTGGGCTGGCTTTACAGCAGAGGTTGTGGACTCCACAGAGCTCTGGGCATTTTTCTTTAACAAGAAGTCATTTGGTAGATCAGTTTAAATGAATAGGATAAAGAGATTTCTAGCAACCAAACCAGATCCTGTTTGGTGTCTTAATACCAGAGGTGGGCCCAGGGTAAAGCTACCTTAGACTCTATAATCTATTTTCTGAATGGTTCTGTGAGATTAAGAATACTCCCCAAGTTCTTTAAACCCCAATGAGTAATATAAAAAAATAGGAAGAGTGAAATAAAACACTCCCAAAGCCTAAAGAGGGGCCACAGCAGAAGTCTCCATTGTTTTGGGTAGATGGACCAATGCTCAGCCTGCAGCTCTGGGCTGAGCTCCTGGATGAGAGGACCTCCCCTTGCCCCCAGGGTTACTTACTTGGACTAGCAGCTGCACTGTGTGTTACTGTAACACTGTATTACTGGAGAATGATGCCTGTCTCTCTGTTCCTTTAGTATCAGGTGGGGCAGCTGTACTCTGTGGCTGAGGCCAGTAAAAATGAGACAGGTGGTGGTGAAGGTGTGGAGGTCCTGGTGAACGAACCGTATGAGAAGGATGGTGAGAAAGGCCAGTACACACACAAGATCTACCACCTACAGAGGTATGTGACGTGGCAGTGGGGTGGAACACTAGCCTGGTTTGGCGGTGGTTGATATTGGTCATTTGGGGATGTTTCTAGGTTATTAGCTGGTTGCTTAAGTTGCCTCACCTATGAGAGTCAGTGTGATTGGTACTTTGTTCATTGAAAGATTTTTGTTATATTTTTTTAAAGTAGTACTTGCTCTACCAGGTCCCCAGTCCCAGAAAATGATAGATTTTGTTTCTTATAGGTCTTTCTATTGCCTGTGGTATAGTAGTGTACATGTAGTATATATGTATATACTACAGCGTGTTACCTTTATTGTTACCTTATGTAGATAGAATCACTAGATGTACTATTAATGTTCTGAAGCAGTGCTGGGGCTTGCACTCAGGGCCTCAAGCTCTTGTTTCCCTTTCTTATTCTTGTCTGGCATTGTCATTACAGCCACAACTCTAGTCCAGCTTTCTTGAAGATGGAGTTTTAACCTCTCTGCCTAAGCTGGCTTTGACCTGCAGTTTTCCAGGTGTCAGTCTCCTGAGTAGTTATTGGTGCCTGGTTTATATGCTGCTCTTTTGTTACATATTATATCATAGCAGTTTTTCAGCTTCAGCCTATCCTCCTGCCTAATTCTTTCAAAGCACTAGTCCCTCCTCTCCTCTGTCTGCCTCTTTTGGTACTGGTGGTACTTTTGTTTGTTGGTACGAGTGTTTGAACTCAGGGCTCCACACTTACTTGGCAGGCATTCTGCCGCTAGAATCATGATCCCAGCTCATTTTTCCTTAGTTGTATTTCAGATAAAATCTTCCATTTTTGCCTGAGGCTGGCCTTAGACCGGGATCTTCCTGCCAATAGCCTCCTAAAAAGTTGTAACCATACGTGTACACCACCATGCCCAGCTTATTAATTGTGATGAGGGTCTTATTAACTTTTTGAATAGTCTGGCCTCAAATGGCAATCCTCCTTATCTGCCTTCTAAGTACCTGGGATTATGATGTGAGCTACCCCACTGGCCCATGCCTGCAGGGCCAGGCTCTGCCTCTTGAACCATACCCTCAAGCCCTTTTGGTTTTATTTTGATTCTTTTTTGGTTGGTCGTGGGGCCTGAACTCTGGGCCTGAGTGCTGTCCCTCAGCTCTTCAGCTCAAGGCTAGCACTCTACCACTTGAGCTACAGCGCCACTTCAGCTTTTTCTGCTTATGTGGTACTGAGGAATCAAATCCAGGTGTGCAAGGCAAGCACTCTACCACTGAGCCACCTTCTCAGCCCCTTTATTTTGATTCTTAGTGTCTCACTGTCTTTGCCAGGGTTGGCTTTGAGCTTGAGATAATCCTGTTTCTGCCCTTCAAGTAGCTAGGATTATAGCAATCTTTACCAGTCTCCTCTCCCCCTCCCCTTCTCTCTTCCTTTCTTTTTGTACCAGTACTTGGCTTGAACTTGGGGCCTCATACCTCTTTGGTTGGCTTTTCTGCTTAAGGCTGGTGCTCTATTACTTGGCCAACACCTCCACTTCTGGCTTTTTCCTAGCTAATTGGAGATAAGAATCTCATAGACTTTTCTGCCTGGGCTGTCTTTGAACTATTATCCTCAGAACTCAGACTCTTGAGTAGCTAGGATTACAGGACAGGTGTATGCTTAGAAACCTGTCCTTTTTTTTTTTTTTTTTTGTGGGTTGTAGGGCTTGAACTCTGGGCCTGGGTGCTGTCCCTCAGCATTTCGGCTCAAAGTGAATGCTCTACCACTTGTGCCACAGCACCATTTCCAGTTTTCTGGTGGTTTATTGAAGAGTCTCACAGACTTTCCTGCCTGGGCTGACTTTGAACTGCGATCCTTAGATCTCAGCCTTCTGAGTAGCTAGGATTACAGGCATGAGCCACAGGCACCCAGCCAACCAGTCCTTTCTTGTTATATGTTTATAGCCATTTCTAGATGTCTGTATACTCCAGTAAAGCTACTGCATGTTTTTCCCCCCTTCTTCAGTACTGAAGCCTGAGTTCAGCCTCATACTTGGAAGGCAGGCATTCTACTACTTGAACTGTGCCTTTAGCCTGGAATAAATCTTTTGGTGTACTTCTATGTGGAATTCGATAGCAAATACTCCTAATAGTATAATTACTAGGTCAGGTAGTATTTTAAATTATGGTATTTTGAAATCAGCTGCTAAAAAATTTATGGTATCTCTCAGTCAAAGGCATAAACACTTTAAAAAACAACAACAACAAAAAAACTTCATTTCTAACCAGGCACTAGTTGCTCATGTCTAATCCTAGATGCTCAGGAGGCTGAGATTTGTTTGTTTGTTTTTTGGGTCCGGTAGTGGGCCTGAACTCTGGGCCTGGGCGCTGTCCCTCAGCACTTCAGCTCAAGACTAGCGCTCTACCACTTGAGCCACAGCGCCACTTCTGGCTTTTTTTTTCCTTTTTGGTTATGTGGTGCTGAGGAGTCAAACCAGGGCCTCATGCATGCAAGGCAAGCGCTCTACCACTGAGCCACCTTCCCAGCCCCAGGAGGCTGAGATTTGAAGATCACAGTTCAAAGCTAGCCTAGGGAGGAAAGTCCATGATAGTTTTTTTTTTTTGGTCCGGTCGTGGGGCCTGAACTCTGGGCCGGGGCACAGTCCCTCAGCCCTTCAGCTCAAGACTAGCACTCTAACACTTGATCCACAGCACCACTTCCAGTTTTTTTTTTCTGCTTTGTCTGGTGCTGGGGAATCGAACCCAGGGCCTCATGCATGCAAGGTGAGCACTCTACCACTGAACTACCTTCCCAGCCCCCATGATAGTCTTATCTCCCAATTAGCTACCAGAAAACTGGAAGTAGAGCTGTGGCTCAAAGTGGTACAGTGCTACCTTGAGAGAAAAGGTTTAGGAATAGTGCTGAGGCCCTGAGTTCAAGCCCAATAACTGACCAAAAAAACCCTTTTTTTTCTTATGGTATTTATTATGACTTATTTATTTATTTTATCCGTCATGGGGCTTGAACTCAGGGCCTGGGCACTGTCCCTGAACTCTTCAGCTTAAAGCAAGCACTATACCACTTGAGCCACAGTGCCAAATTCGTTTTTCTGGTGGTTAATTGGAGATAAGAATCTTACAGGTTTTCCTGACTTGGTTGGCTTTGAGCCACAATCCTCAGATCTCAGCCTCCTGAGTAGCTAGGATTACAGGGGTGAGCCACCAGTGCCCTGCTTTTTTTTTTTTTTTT